ATCGAGGCCGGACACACTGCGCAAGACTGGGCACGAGCCTGCCTAGAAGCTTCAGAACTCACACGGCGGGAAGTGCGGGACACGCTGCGCCGTGGCCGCCTCTGGGACTGCAGGTGTTGCAGCAAAGTGACTTGGGCAGGTCACTGGACCATGCTGAGCCTCACGTGCACGCAAAAGGAGCTTGCTGATGTGAGACAGGGTGACGTGCGAACATGTATCGCACGGCCCTCAGCTGTACAGTCAGGTGCATGCAAGTGGTGGTGCGGACGTGGAGCCCGGCCTCAATGTGCCAGGGGAGGTCTTGGTGCCTTACCTTGACATGAGGGCCGGAGGCGGCTCATAGTTCAGAAAACATGCTGCAAACATGACCTGACATTAGCAGGAGAGGCCAGGGTGGACAACGCTGCCACTACGGACGAGGCAACAAAGAAGCGTAAGGTGGCAGCAAAGGCCTTGGCCAAGGCCAAGGCCCAGGCCAAGGTGGCCAAAGCACAACGCCTCGCGAAGCAGAAAAGGCAGGCAAAGCCTTGGAGGCCTGAGAAGTGGCCCTAGACCAAGCGGAGATGTGAACACTGCGCATGCAGGCAAAGACAAGAGCACAAGGCTGACGGAAATTGGCAGCAAACAAGGGGAAGCGCGCGCAGTTGAAAGCTGCTCCAGAAGCAGACGCGGAGGCACGGTCTCTTTCTTGTGACAGCTGCGAAGGCACTTCTCTCTGAAAGCCAAGGAGAAGCTTCGGCTTATGCGAGAGAAAGACAAGCTGCGAAAGCGCAAGTGGCGCAAGAAAAAATGCAGCAAAGGAGAAAGCCCGCAAGAAAGCGGAGGCCAGGCAGGTCTGATTTGACACCTGCCGCTCAGAGTTGCTTGACAGGCTCGAAAGAACTTCCAAAAAATGGAAGCCGCGACATGTCGGGAGGTAACGGAGGAGGCGAGGTGCCGCAGACCTACCAAGAGGCCCTGCCCTCTGAATCCCGGAGGTCGATGTCGCCATGGCCTACTTGGAAAACGCGCGCGTAAGGACAGCGCGCTGGCTGTAAAGACCCTGCTGAGCAGGGTGGCTCCGAAGCCGCAAGCGATGATGAGGCGTGGAACAGTGCAGAAGGTGTAGACCGTAGCCACACGTACTTGCCCAGGAGCTCTGGGGCATGATCATGGATAACGACGATGAGGCCGAAGCAACCCTGCGTTTCGTGTTGCCTGGTGCCTGTGTGTTTGTGTGTGTGCAGGAATCGGCTTTTCAGCGCGCTCTCCGAGAGTCTGGAAATAATTTCGAGCACGATCCGAAGCATGAGCCTCAATCTCCGCGACCCGCTCTTTTTTGTTACGCGCTCGGGCGTGAGCCCTCGGCCAACGTTCGGGGTCTGTCGCTTGACGTCAGCGACCCCTCATTTAGTTTAGGATAAGATATGGGCTATATGGACATCTCATTATAGTATACCCAAAGCCATATTCTATCTACTCAAGGGGTGCTATAAGGTTTTCAGGTTCAGGGTGAAATCTCAAAGCATGAGGCCCTTTTCACAACAATCGTTTCACAAAAGCCCTACACGCCTTAATCCAAAAATATCCCAAGTCCCAAGCATTGAACCCCAAAGGCTAGAACAAGACAGAGCCCTGAGGGTGTAAGATCCCGGTATGAGGTCTTGAATAGCAAAACCCGTTCAGATCATAGTGCTTGCTTGGGTACTTGCACACGCATCGGATGTAAAGGAGTAAATGTGAGCCTTGGATTAAATTTGTAGTATATCCCTTGATACGTCCCCCCAAAACCCTACATAGTCCCCTAGAAGTCCCCCCCAATCTCCTAAATAGTCCCCTATAGCTCCCCCCCAAAACCCTATATAGTCCGTTATAGGTCCCTCCATCCTAAATTTAGTCCCTAGCTCATGTGAGGTGTCTGCGGCAGCATGAGACATATCCTTATACACCCTTATGTAATGTAATCTAAACCCTAAACTTTAAACCCTAAATCCTAAACATCTTAACCCTAAATCCTAAACCCTAGACCCTAAATCCTAAACCCTAAATCCTAACCCCTAAATCCTAAACGTTAAACCCTAAACCCTACCCTCCCAAAGCATCCCCTGCAAGCCAGGCAGCGCATCAATGGCAGATTGGCTTGCATCTTTTCAACCATATGCTGGAAGACAAGGCATGTGGCTTATTGATTTTTATCATATATTTTTGGCTTTTAGGGCGTAGGGCTGTAGAGTTTAGGGTTTGGGATATTGTTGGGTTGTAGGGCTGTAGAGTTAAGAGCTTTAAGGGTTGTAGGGCGTAGGGCTTTGGAGTTTGGGGCTTTAGGATATTTTAGGCTTGTAGCATTAGAGTTTAAGGTTTTAGTGGTGCAGAGCTTCGGGGTTCTGGGTTTCGGGTTTGAGGGTTTTGGGTGTTGGTCTGGTTCTTCCAGGACTGAGGATGCAAATACGATCCCTTCAAAGGGGTATAGAGGGGTTGAGGGTTTTTAGGGGTTCAGGGTTTAGGGGTAGTTATGGACGCGTATATAGGCATGTTAAGGGTGTTGGGATTGGGGCTTTTAAAAAAGCATTTTTTTCTGAAGTGGCCTTTACAATGAAGACTGCGGCAGTTTTGGGGGAATAAAAGTGGGACCCATATTTGGAAACCCATCACTAAAGGGTCCTATCCCTAAACCCTGGACCGGAAGCCCTTAAACCCTAATCCTTTTACTCCCAACCCAGGGCATGAAGAAGTTCGTCGCAATACTTAACCTTAACAACCAAATATAGTGATCTTCTATGCCTGAAGAATTTAAAAGAGGGTAGCTGGGTTTTTAGGTTCCTAAACCCCAAACGCTAAACCTTAGACCTCAAACCCTACACTGCAGATGGGTTTGAGATTTCTGTTTTTGGTTTCAGGGCTCGAGGAACTTCACATCTAGGGGGCGTCGTCTCCAGCGCCCGGATCTTTCCGTCATGTATCGTCTACATATATATATATGTATATATATATGTTTATAAACATATGTAGAAACATATATATATATATACACATATTTATGTATGTATACTTGGTATGCAAAGTAGTTAGGCGGGCATCCCTTCGGGCCATAAATTGTGTGGTACCTAGTTGGATCTTTTGGCTTTGGAAGTGCGCAGGTGGATCCGGACGTGCTGACTTACAATGCCACCATCAGGTCCTGCCTGAAGGGCAAGTACCTAGGTACTATAGGGGTTATTTAAGGATTATATAGGGGTTATATAGGGATAATGGAAAAGAAAATGGAAACTACAATTTAGGGTTTAGGGTTTAGGTCTACTAGGTATGGGGTTCTTGGGGAACCTAGGCACTGGCGGCTAGCTCTTCACCTCTTTGCAAGCATGCCTGATGCCGGGGTGGAGCCTGATGTTGTCGCCCTCTCGAAATTTGGGGGGTTTCATAAAATTAGGGGTACCCTTTTGGGGGTTCCTATACTAAGGACTATAGTATATTGGGGGTCTATATTGGGGTCCCCTTGTTTTGGGAAAGTACCATTTGGAGCTTTGGCACATTTGCCTGTTCGACTTCTGTGACAGATCTTGGAGCGTTTAAGCGGTTCACCCACAAGCTGCTAACTACCAAGGCATGTGATGTTACCAGTTCCTTGTATAGAAGCCTTGTTTCCTACCGTTTAGATGCTCGGGAACCTTAGGGTTATTCCCTAGACCCCCAACCCGATAGGTCAGCTACACGGCAGTGATCAGTGCATGCGAGAAGGGCCAGCATTGGCCGCTGGCGCTGCAGATCTTCCACGGCATGACCCAAGGTCACGTTTGCCCTGACATCGTCAGCTACTTGGAGGTTCAGGAGTCTAGAGTGTAGGGTTTAGGCTTCCGACAGGTACTTCTACACCAAACATAGCGATATCGGGGGACTAGTAGACTCGAGTATCATTGGGGTATGATTGCGCTGAACCTCCAAGCACTTGGTTGCTCTTAGCAAGGGAACTTATATCAGACAATGCTAGCATAATACAGATACCTAAGACCGCATTCTCACAACTTAAGTTAAGCCTCAAAAACCACACCCACGCTCCCATATATTCAGCCAGGCTATACTGCTGCAATCAGTGCCTGTGAGAAGGGCCAGCAATGGGCACTGGCTATGCAGATCTTTGGGAGCGTCTTCGTAGCACAGAATATGGGGTATATAGGGTTTAGGGTTTAGGGTTTAGGGTTCAGGGCTTGGGCTTAGGGTTCAGGCGGTTTAGCTTTTAGGGTTTGATGGCTTAGGGTTTAGGATTTGAGGTGTTTTATAGGGTCTGGAAAGTAGAGAATGCAAAGCCGAATGGACAAGCAAATGGGCAATCAAATGGAAACTGAGCACCTACAGGAATATTGGGTTTCGGGTTTAGGGTTATCTTGTTGGTTGTTAGTGCGTATAATATAATACATTTCACTGTAGTAATATACTACAATAGACAATATACTATAATAGACTATAGTCTACTGCAATAATACTATTACTATCCCTAAGCCCTAAACCGTAAACCCTAGAGTAGAGAATGGAGGATCCCCAAAGCTGCTCCTATATAACATCCATAACTACTGTAGTATCCATGTGCATTAACCCGGACCCCTGATTAGTGAACTCCTTCCCTTGGGGTTTAGGGTCTTATGAAAATGGAAACTACTGTATAGTATATCGGGGTAAAATAGGGGTTATACAGAAAACATGGGATTATAATAGGGATTGTAATATTCAGGCCCTTTAAAAGGAAGGGGTTTATTGATCATGGTCTACATTACGGTAAAGACTACTACGCGAAAGGCATGAAGTGGAGCAGGAAAATAGCCAACTTGATTGTAAACTTGCGTAAGTGGGCGAAGAGCCACAACAATGTCGGTGAACCTGCGAGTAAGTAAGGTACGCTTATACCCTAAAGCCCTCAGACCTAAAAAGGCCTTAACACCCCTAGATCTTAAACTGAGTAAGGTATGCGTATACCCTAAAACCCTCAGACCCAAAAACCCTGAACACCCCTAGGTCTTAAACTGCGTAAGGTATGCCTGATGCTGAAGTTCATCCCAACCTGATTAGCTACAACGCTGCCATCAGCTCCTGTGCCAAGAGTCAGCAGTGGCAACTGGTGGTGAAGTTCCTAGATTCTCTTCAGGATCTTTCATATGAGTTATAGTCTAAACTCCTTAAAGGGGGTCTTATAGGGGATTTATATAGGGGACTACTATAGGGTTTATTAAGGGGGAATCCTTTATATTTGGGGATAATGGATAAGCAAATGGAAGCTACTGTATAGTATGTTGGGGTTATATAGGGATAGTGGAAAAGAAAATCGAAGCTACTATATACGATTCTCTTCAGGATCCCACGATGGGCTATTAGACCCTAAAATTCCCTATGAGGACCCTATTACGGGTAGATTAAGGTACCCTTAAGGTCTAATAGCCCATAGTGGTCCATTATGTGTTCATGGCGAGAGTTTTTGGTGGATTGTACATGAAGTTCACATCACGGGGTTTGGGCTTTCTTCCTCGCCTTTTCAAGGTCAGCAGGAAGACTACGTAGGCATATGTAGCATTTGAGCAGTCGGATGTCGGTAGCTGGGTTCCGGTGGCCTACAAGATTACAGTGGACATTAAAAATCCTGAATGACCCTAAGTATCTAAAACCTAGGAAATACTGTTATTAGATTATACTACGGTCATGCAGGGTTTTTAGTATCATCACTAGGAAGCCTTGGGAAGTCTTGTGAAACAGTCCAAGTCAGTAGAAGACCGGCTGTCAGGGCATCATGGCCCGAGGGTGTAGGTACTGGTAGACTTAATGGGAATAATGATGGGGATGTTTGAAGAGGAACATACGAACTATGATAGTATATAGGGTTTAGGGTTTAGGGCTGATTGAAAAAGAACATGCGAACAAACATTTTACATAGGGTTTAGGGCTCGGGGGACTGAGTAAGTAGGCAAATCATGGGCATACGTGGGGGTATCATGTGGCTTATGGGGGTTGTTGACCTAAGCCCCCCTTGCCCTCCAGGTGAGTGTAGGTACATGTGCGTGTATGAAATATATGAAAGAACCCTAAACCCTCAACCCTAAACCCTTAAACCTTGACGCGAAGGCTATTCGAAGGCATGCAGATGGACAATGTTGCTCCAGATGTGGTGGGCTATACCGCTGTCATCAGCTCCTGTGCAAGGGGCCAGCAGTGGATGCTTGCGCTACAGATCTTCAACAACATGCCCATTGCCAAGGCGGACTTAGGGTTTAGGGTTTAGGGCTTCTCTCTTGGTGGGACGACCTCTTTGGCTCCTCAATTCCCTAACCCCAAGGCTCCAAAGTAGCCCAGTGCATGTAGGTCATTTTCATAGACTTTGGGGCCCAATGCAGGGATTCTTTATAGACATGGAGCCCTAGGGTAAGCATTCGGCATGGAAGGCGTTGAAGAAACCCTAGCTGACTGCCTCGGCAACCTGTGAATTGTATGAAGCATTTCAGGTCGTCTACACGCCCCACGCAAGTTTTGGAAATGCACATCTCTTCTAGGGACCTGGCCATGGTAAACATGGAGCCAGTATTTTGAGAACCGCCCGAGAGGAGCGTTGTAGAGCTTCATCGGCCTGTGCCTTAACATCTCATAGATACTTTACCAATCAAATACTCGCCGCACCCAAACTTCACACCGCCCAGTTATTGCACAACAATGTTAAGGTTTCAGTTCGGCCGACACAACATGCAGTCATAGCATGCCCAACCAAAAGCCCTAACACATCCTAAACGCTAAGACCCTGAGCTCTAAGCCTCATGCGCTAAGCCCTCGACCCCAACACCAGAAACCTCACAAGTACCTAACACCCGGAACCACACACATGCCCCAAAGGCCTTGGTCACGGCCCTAAACCCAAACCCCTAAATCCTAAACCCTAGACTCAGACCCTAAACCCCAAACCCTAAACCCTAAATCCTAAACCCTAAACTCCAAGCCGTAGACCCTAAATGGTAGTTTCCCAAAATAAGGGGACCCCAATATAGACCCCAAAATACGATAGTCCTTATTATTTAGACCCAAAATGGTACCCTAATTTTGGGAAATCCCCAAATCCTTAGTAGGCGACCTAGGTGGTACCTAACAAGATCAGCTACGCTGCTGCTATCGGCTCATGTGCCTTGGGCTTCCACTGGCAGCTGGCTTTGAGCTATCTGCGGCGCTACTACCGCGGTGAGGGCTTAAGGAGTGCGGTTTCTAGGTGTTAGGGTGGGGTTTAGGGTTTTAGGGTTTAGGGTTTGAGGTTTGGGGTTCCTCAGGGCTCCAAAAGAGCCACGCCTCGGCACTATGCATAGACTTCAAGGCCCAAACTTAGGCACTATCTATGTATTTGGAGCCCCAGGACCCAAACCCCCGCAAAACAAACTAAGCAAATCTTAGTGGTTGGAGCCCCAGGGTTAACGTTTCTAGGATGTCGTCTTCAGGGTGGTTTGGGAGGCCCCTAGGTGAGAAGACAAGCTACCCAAACTTCAAGGCTACTTTACAGTATGTGTAGCTTACTGGCCTCAGCGTTCACTAAGTCGGCGTTTAGGGTTAACACCTGCAGCTGTGGGCTTGTAGTTCAAGACAAGGCCAATGGCGTTTGTGGTTCAATGCCCAGGGTTTTGGGTAGGTAGATGGTAGTTTCCCAAAATGGGCGGCCCCCAATATGGACACTAATATACTATAGTCCCGTTTCCAAAAAGGTATCCCACAGTTGGGGAAATCCTTGCTCTGAACTCTTGGGGACCTCTGGGGCACAGTTCATGAGAGAGCTATAAAGGGATTATATAGGGAGTGTATAGGGTTATATAGGGCTCATATTGGGATAGAAAGTGTCATACTTATGATCATGGATAAGAGTGTTACAATGAAGATGGCCTCCTGGACATTCCTTAGAGGCTGGGACGTGGTTGAAGGCTTAAGCTTCAGAGCTTGGGGTTTAGGGTTGATCCCGGTTCAGGGGACACTCTGCAGGGCATGAATTCGTGTGGATTGGTAGCCGAAGGCTCTACTACGAAATTTCAAGGGGATGCGCACCCTGGACCCTAAATCCTTCCAGTCCCCAGCCAAGCTGTGGGTTGAAAGAGCCTTGGACTACGGCTGCATGTGTGGCAGTTTGAGAGGACGCTAGCACGCCTAGATGCAGGGCAGAGACCACGCGGGAGAAAAGGGCGTGTAGTGGACAGCTGGTAACTAGCTTGAATTAAGTTATTGTGTGACTCATGTGTTGTCAAAAAACGATTTTCCTTAGAATGGTAGCTCAATTTACGCTCCCCAACAGTAGCGCAGATATCTTAGCATGCAGGGTAATGGTTGTGCAAGTTAAGAGCTTCTGGCCGCAAACCCTGAAATTCCTAAAACTTTATGCCTAAATCCTGAGCCCGTGTGACAGGCATCCCCCTGAGGAATTCTAGGCCCTCCTTCCTACCTTCAGACCTTAGGGTTTTGGGTTTAGGGGTTTGGGATTTGGGGTTCATGGGTTTAGGGCTTAGGGTTTAGGGTTTCGGGTCTAGGGTAAACAGCATTACTCTCCCTGCACAGTAGCGTCTATTTGGTTTCTATGGTTCGGTTGTACTTCCTGACTGACATTCGGCCAGAAGAGAGGCCCATAACCCTTGTATTCAAGGAGAACATGTTCAGACTTGTCATGGAAAACGGCAGAACCCTGAACCCTAAATACCCTCAACCCTAGATAGTAGTTTCCAGCTTCTTTTCCATTATCCCTATATAATCCCCCAAATAAAAACCCTATAAACCCTATCTTTTTACCCTACTGGTCCAAGAGCCCAGCAGTCCTTTCCTTACACCCACAACTACGCTGAACAACGTGCACCAGAGGAGGAATTTAGAATGTTCCGCTATATTAATATGATAAAACGCTAACTCCTATCGTAGTGCTCCAGTTGCCTAAGCAATGGGAACTGGGTTCTATACCCAGTTACATAGCCCAGAAACCTACTATTTAGGTCACTGGGAGCCCTAGGGCTATATGTCCCTCTATATTTCCTGGAAACCTTGTTTCGTACCATATACCAAATTCCCTATACGATCCTTGGGGCAAAACTTAAGGCTTAGGGCTCACAGATGTATAGACGTGTGTACTGAAAGAGCTCGAAACTCTAAAGTAGGGTCATTTAGGGCTTAGGTTTTATAGCGCTTAGGGGATCCCAAGCCGTAAATCCAAGGGTTTGGACATGCATGGTTTAGGGTTTAGGGTCTAGGGCATACTCAGTATCTTCCTCTTCGCACAAACAGGGCTAAAGGCAGTGATGTTGATGACCATTTCAAGCTTGTAGAGAAAGCTCTTGGGAGAGCGCTTACCATGATTCACCTAGGAGGTTTGCAGTTGTATGGCTGAGGTATATACTCACCAGTGTAGTTCCTTGCTGTAGTTGTTTTGGGTTTCTTTTTGGGCTCGTTTCGTTCGTGTTAGTGTGAGGGAGTATGGTATTCCACCCCATAACACAAGTGAACATGAGTTTTGGGGTAGGTCTGGACAAAATTGGAAGTGGCAAAAGAGCTAATTGGATAGGAGGTGGCTTGGGCCTAAATGCATTCCGCCCTAAACCCTAAACCCGAAACCTTCAGGATTCAACAAGGATCTCGAGGCAAACCCGACACCCTGAACTCGAGCCCCCTACATAGCTATATACTTCTGTATGAGCTGGAACCTAAACTCCTTAAAGGGGTGGTTATGTAGGGGAGTAGGGTTTAGGGTTGTATAGGGGATTCCATGGTGTAGCCTTAGAAGGGTTATTAAGGGGATACTAGAAGTTTAGACTATAGCTCATATGCATTCTGAAAAGAAGGGGTTCGGTTGCGTACCGCTCCACTCAGTAACAATTGGATAATGATTGCATTACGATTCTATATAGCCCGTAGTAGGATCCCTATTCATGACTGTTTCTGGGTGGGGGCAGTACCCAACCTAAACCCCAGACCCTAAGCCCTAAACCCTACACCCTAAACCCTAAACCCTAAACCCTACACCCTGCACCCTAAACCCTACACCCTAAGCCCTAAACCCTACACCCTAAACCCTACACCCTATGAACCCTAAACCTTAAGCCGGGTAAGACACATCCCCAGCTTCCCGGCAGTTGCTGCGTGGAGACACG